AAAAAAAAAAAAAAGAATTATCAAATGATGTCTATGGGGATAGGGCATTTGATTCAGGTAATACCACAGTTACCAAGAAAGGCCATCTTGACTCCTGGTTCTGGCCCTATTTGCATGTAAAATGTCAAAGTAAACACAATATGGTTCCAGTACAGAACATGTTGATACGTTAAGTGATGACAGTCGAACTACAGGAACACAAGAGTGACTATTTGTTAAAGAGTAAAGAAAGAAATGTCAAGTTCACAGGGAAAAAGAAACAATGTGCATGAGGCCCATCATTTTATTATGGAAAGGGACCTTTTCTTTTTAAATTCTCATGTAGAAAAACAGGGCAAATCTCAAGCTGAATTAACAAAAATATTTAAAGATTTGGAATACACTACAAATATAAAATTAATTTAATTTTAAGGTATGGAACAACAATGATATCAATGTGAACAGTATACAAACCTTTAGATAAGCAATATGATACTCTAAAAGAACTTGCACATTTCCGATGCTTTCTTTAGTGCCAACAAATACAAATGGAACCATCCCCTGTAAGAAAACACAAGATTCTCAGTATTGAATATTTTAACAAAGTTCCAAGCCTAAATGTAACATACCAATATATAATTTGGAAAACTTCTAAAACACAGCAATTCACAGCTACTAAACTTCAAGATTTAAAAATAAACTGCTTTAAAAAAAACAATATAATTTGAGAAACACTGACATTTTCAGTAATGTCACATTTGCATTACAATTTGGCATTTAAGTGTGCTAAAAATTTAAGAAATTTTAAAATATCAGTTTATATCAGGTTTTCTAATTTCTAATTCAATCTAATGTTCTAAGTATATAAACCAGCTTTTAAAGAAATTTTCTTCAAAACTGGCATGAATTTACAGACTAAATATAACACCTTAGTAGTGACTGCTTTAAAAACATACCAAAACACACTAGGCCAGGTCATCCCTATAACATGGGCTCAGACAACAAAACCTTCAATGTCTATGTATTGGAGGGAGTACTTGTTGGTCATTAACATAAGTATCACCTACAGAGTACAAATATTTACACAATGTAAAATAAAGAAATTACTGTTAGTCACAGGTATTAAAGCAAGTCAAAGGATTAAGCCAGACCTGGTTTACTTGGCTGAATTTCAAGAGAAAGGTTTAAACAGGTGGGAAAGAAGAGAAATAAGATAGCTAAATAACAGTGGGTTTTTTTCTTTTTCTTTTTTTTTTTTTTTGTCTGAGGAAGATCAGCCCTGAGCTAACATCC